AAAACTTTAAAGCAAATGAAAATGATCATTCTTTAGTTGGGGGGTATGGTGGTACATGCATGTAATCCTAGCACTCGGGAGGCTGAGGCAGGAAGATCAGGAGTTCAAGGCCACCATGGACTATGGAGTAACACTGTATCTCAAAACAAAAACCAGTACATATTTTTAAAAACTTAAATGTAATAAAGTGTACTTAGTTGGCCTATGATGAAGTCAAACTCTGAAATCTTCAAAGCAAATAACATTATCTACCAAAACCCAACTAATCTATAACTAAAATTCAATGTCAACTAACATTTTATCATAATGAAAAGTAGATGATTTATCTAGAAAACTGGCCTTCTTGTAAATTAGTAATTTGAAGGAAAAAGGTAAGCCTTCAAGGAAAACAGGCTTTAACATGTTATAATACCCGGGTAGATGCCTTTAATCCCAGTGCTTGGGAGGCAGAGTCAGGTGGATCTCTGTGAGTTCTAGGCCAGCCTGGTCTACATAATGAGTTCCAGGGAGACAGAAGGTCTCTTCTTAAAAAGACAAAAAAATAAATGAAGTAAAATATTACAAATAGTTTAATTACTAAAGTGGGGCTGGAAAGATGGCTCAGTGGTTAAAAGCACTAGCTGCTCTTGTAGAGGACCTGAGTTTGGTTCCCAGCACCCAAACGGTAGCAGCAAGCAACCACCCATAATTCAGTTCCAGGGGATCTGATACCCTCTTTTGGCTTCCAAAGGCACTGCATACATGTGATACACTTACATATATGTAGGCAACACATTCATATGCATAACATTTTTTTTTTTTAGTTTAAAAAATTAGCTGAGTATGGTGGCGAATGCCTTTAATCCCAGCACTTTGGAAGCAGAGGCAGGCAGATCTCCATGAGATTGAGGCCAACTTGGTCTACATATTAAGTTCCAGGACAGCTACAGCAACAGGGAGACCCTGTCTCAAATACACAAACACACACACACACACACACACACACACACACACACACACACACACAAATTCCTGAAGTACCTGGACAAATAATCCAAATTTTTGAAAATTATGAAATCAGAGACATCTGAATTGAAAGCATTTCCCTCAAACAAAAGAATTAACAGGCTTACCTACTTCTGAACCTCCAGATGTGTAAATTTTGCCTTCTGCAGCACAGGCAGCAAGGCTGTCTCGAGGTGTTGGAGGGCCCAGTTTGGAATACCAGCTATCCTTCACGACATTGTAGCAGTCCATTCGCTTTATGGGGAAAAGCTGAGACCCACCCAAAATGTACACTACATTGTCCCAAAACACACACGCTGCATCTCTTCGTTTTTCAAAGGGGCAGCGAATGTCGGTCCAGCTGTAATCCTGCAACAAGACAGGACAGGAAGCTTTCAGAAAGGGAAATGAAACTGGGAAGACAAAGCACAGATAGGTTAAAGACAATACAAAGTATAAGAACGTGTTAATTTACTAGACTATACATACTCATGTTTAGCTTGCAACTATTAACCGGTTTGTGTGATTTCTTCAAAACTTTACATTAGCTAAGGCAGGGGGCAGGAGGAAGAGACATGACAGGAGGAAGAGACTTTGGATATTATCTGGCTTTGAAATAAACATATCTGGATGTCACTATTACCCTGTCTTCTATTCATCACTGAAGAGCAAAGACTATAACTCGTCTTTTTGGTTGTGAGCCTGAGCACTGTAACAATGGTGCCAGCTCACCAGTCTAAAGATTATAACTAAAAAAGTAAAATAATTTTAATTTTATAAAGATTTGTTTTTATTATTTTAACCATGTATATGTGGGTATGTGCATGTGAGTGCAAGTGCCGTGGAGGCAAGAGTGTGTCAGAGCCCGTGGAGCTGGGCTAAGCAAGGCTGCCTGCTTGAGGTAGGTGTTGGGAACACAACTGTCTTCTGTAAGAGGAGCATGATGCTCTTAATGGGAGTGTCACTTCTCCAGCTCCCACTTTTAAAAACCTCTTTTTCAAATGCGTATTATCTCTATTGTCTCCTTGCCAAAGATACAGACCAGTATCTAAACGTCAGTGAACATTATGAAGCTCAAACTGCCGAAATACCACCACTACCTCAAATATTTTGTAGATTTCTATAACACACTAATTTCATGCAAATATTTAGTTTAGCCAATGTAGTTAGCTGGATTCTTTAAACAGTATTATGTAGCTAGGGCTATAGACAAAAAAAAAAAAAAAAAAAAAAAAAAAAAAAATTCCTTAAAGGCTGGCCATAGTACCCATCTGCTTCCTATTGGTCTATTATTATCACTCCAATTATAACATAAGACTAATCAACTTGAAACCCATTTAACGCTTATGTATAAAATAGAGGCTGGAGAGATGGCTCAGTGGTTAAGCAGGCTGTTCTCCCAGAGGAGTTGGGTTCAGTTCTTAGCACCCACATGGTAGCTAACAACTTAATTCCAGTTCCAGGGGATCCAACACCCTTTTCTTGGCTCTGTGGGCACTGCATGGCACAGGTGCATTTAGTATCATGTAGGCGAAACACTCATACATATAAAATAAAAATACAAGCTCCTGGAACCCTGCTCATATGAACCTACAACAGAGATGTCAGCATACACAGGACCCATGCAAACTCAAGACAAAAACCCAGCATAAAACTGAGGAAATGACAGCTGACCCCAATCTTAGCTGAAGAAATATTGGCAACCGATTACTGCTGGGTGAGGAAGAGCTGATCTTCCTAAATCTAGTAGGCTGACTAGACTTCAGTAGATGAACTTACTCTGAGGGACATCTGGGGACACCAACTTGACACAACAGGCCTTAAGACAAATAACAAACTGTATGAACTCCAGTGGGGGTGGCTATAAAGATGATTAAGATCGATTGAGATGTTCTGTACGAAATACACAAAAATTCAATTAAAAAAGAAAAAAAAAAAAAGACTTCTCATATCATTTACTATGTGAGGCCACAGTGAGGAGGCATCACTGATGAGCTAAGAAATGGGTCCTCACCGAACACCAAATCTGCCTACACCTTGATTTTGGACTTCTGAGCTTCCAGAACTGGGAGAAATAAATTTCAATTGTTTATAAGAAAAAAATAAAAAACATTAAAAAAAAACAGGCTTTAGCTATGAACACTGATTGCTGTATAGAAATTTACACTCGTTTCATGGCTTCAAAAACGTAAGGTAATATAAATCATGCAACCACTATCAAATAGAGAGGAAGAACAAAAATGGGTGAATGGAACTAGTTAGCATGCTACAAAGAAGTGTAAACACTTCATTCTTTTCTGGGATAAGTATGCAGAAAAAGGTTAAGTATGCACTTAGTTTCTATTCACACTGAAACTACTGTTAGGGCAGTTTTAAAAGTCAAAAAGAGATTCAAGGTGGTGCCCTAAATAAATAAAAGTTTGGTATTATTTGACCCCAAATTCTCACTTGAAGAGAAGCAAAATTTTAGCCTGTCAAATAAACCAGATCAAATTTAGGAGCTGTTTGGTTTTGTAAAGCTTATATTTGAAGAGTAATTTTTGTGTACTGAAATTTTTTAAATACCAAAAGAATAGTCTGTGATAGGAAAATGACACAGAACTCAGAGTTCACTATAATAGTCTTACTGGGAGATGGCAATGTGTTCCAGTGTGTACTGTCCATGCCTGCCTTTACTCAACTGCAACAAACTGTATGGCCCATAATACCTAAAATATTTTTCTGCTTGCCCCTTTACCAGCTGTTTTCCTGGTTCAGGCAGGGAACCTTACCCTTTTCTTGCTTAGTCATATGTTATAGGAAGTGTTTTGGTTTGCCTTTTCAGAATATATTAAATGTACAACACACCTGGTTTAACTGTGACATTGTGATACATGCCTTTAATCATATTTGTGCCCATTATTCTTTGTCTTCTCTTCCTGCTCCCTCTAGTTCCCTTCCTTTCCCCAATAACCTCCCTTCTAATTTCATGTCTTAAAAAACAAAAACAAAAAAACTAGATTCTATGCATGGCAAAACAAGCCCAAGTTTGGCTAACTGTTCTTGTGTTTTGTGGCATCTGAGGTGCAACAATTGGTGCTTCTACCCACCTTTAATGTGTGTGCACTGGGGAATGCCCCCAGAGGCAGAGCATATTGACACTTTGAGAAAGGAAGCTAGTGTTTCTGCTGCTTTCCAAAAATAGACGAAAACAAACAGGATCAGGCAGGAATCTAAACAATTCCCAGTCTCACTGAGCAAAGCACTGTGTAACTATTACTGATGTGGTCCCTATAGGAATATTAAACTGATACTTACATCATGCTAGTATCCGTTGTGTTAGTACATCAGTGCAATACATCATAAGATCATAAAGAATGATCTCTTGGGAAAAATAGGACTTTCCAGGAACTTTTGACTCCTGATGAAGATTAGCTTTTCCTTCTTTTTTCCAATGATGAGGAAAGAGAATTACTTAGGACTTTATCCTTAAATTAGGATCTGTGTCTCCTTGGATTACTTGGTGACAGGCAAACTACTTCAAGATAAACATAACATCTTCTCAAAGCTTTAGTTTTAAGTGGAAACTGAAAGGCTAGGGAGAAATATTTTGACTTCTCTTAAACTGTATATTACAGAACAAAAGTAATTACCATATTCTACAGGGAGTAATTTCTCAAAGGTAACCTAAATGATTTTGCAAATTCACTTATAGTTCCCATTTGACCAAATTCACTGAGCACAGAAATACAACTTAGTAAACTCCACCAACTCAGTAAATCTCTGGATTCACCACTCTTAAAATTTCTTGAATAGCTTTGTAGGAAACTCCCCGTGGTTTTAAAAGCTACCCTCACTAACTTTATCCTTCTATGGTTTTCAAGTAATTCTGGACTGAAAAAGTTGGTCATTTCTTCATTATTTTGAGACACTGTTTCACTATGCACTCCTAGCTAGCTTGGAATTTGCTATGTAGACCAGGATGGCTTGGAACTCAGACAGGAATGGCTCATCTCTGCCTCCTGAATGCTGAGATTAAAGATACGTGCCACCATACCTGGCTATGCAAGTGATTTTAAAGAACAGAAGCTTGCTATATATAGCCCAGGTTAGTCTTAAACTCATCTTTCTGCCTCTAAATGAGTACCTTTGGAATAAATAAATGTTCAATCCTAACTTGCCTCCAGTACTTACCCACATTTCTTTGGAGAAGCCATTCAGCCTTGCTAACAGAAGTCTCACCCACTCTACTGACTTGGTGCAAAATTGTTCCTAAGGCCAGTCCCAGGAAACAGAGCTTAACCTATATAAGGACTTATGCATAACCACGCACAGTCATATGTTCTTTTAAATGATACCTAACACCTGATATTCAAATAAAAAATAACTGCTCATGGAAGAGCTGGGATTAAAAAGAAAAACATGTTTAAACATTTAGACACAAAGGTAAGTTTTAAAAGAATGAAGCAATCCCTTCCGAGTTTGGTAACAGTAATCCTAACACAATTCAAAGGTAGGTATAAGCAATGAAGGGCTGCTCATAGGATCCTGAACCGATTCTTGTCTCCTGTTTCAAATTTAAGAATGAAAATAGGTTTCTTCAGGGCCCAGTGAGATGGTTCAGTAGGTAAAGGTGCTTGTTGCTAAGTCTGACAACCTGAGTCTGATCCCCAAGATCCACAGAGTGAATCAGGATGCAGGAATCACTTGTTACAATATGGACATGCTTTTATTTAAAAAACAATGGGGGGGGGCTGTGAGAATGACTTTTTTGGGACACTACCTCAGCATGTTTATAATGTAAAGAAGCCAACTAGGCCTTACACTCCTCTTGTAACCTAAAATATAGCTTTACTCCCTCATGACCCTTCCTTGCCCTTGACCCAGAATGAGTGTATGTTGTGAAAATTATCAAGCACTCTAGCAGCAAGTATTCATCGGAAGCAGAGGTTAGCCCATGAGTGCTGCAAATAGGTGGGAATAAATTGGTAACATCTGTGCATGATGGTGGTGTGTGCTGTTCTGGATCAGCAGTGAGGCAGAAAAGGACATAATCCTCTGATAGGACCATTCCTCTTTCCTCTCCATTCATGGTGGATGTATGGTTTCAACAGAGAGCAAGGCCTTTGTTTGAGAGGACAGTTCCTGGGAGAAATGTGAAGGAACAAGATTGAACAGTTTAGATCCTGCTCTTGGTTGAAGTGGATGCTAAGAGTCAGGCGGCCTTTATACAGGCATTGTGTGGCACTGCATTACCACAGGAGGAGAGACCCAACTCTCACAGGTTGTCCCCCAAAGGCATGTTCTAGCATGTGTACACTGACCCACCCACAATAAATGTAATAAAAAAAAAAAAGAAAACCAGCTTTCTTTGGAATTATAAGCACCAG